AGCAGTGTTGAATGTAGAATCAGACAGTGTCAGAAAAATATTTATGGCTTTGGTAACACAGCAGTATTAAAAGTTAGATTGCTGCTCTGCAGATCATACAATTATGTCAAACACTTTTCATGGGCAGCTATGTTATGGTTCAGCTAAATAATTCAACCCTTTCAGAATGTGTATTGGTTTGCAATACCATTGATAAATTTATTCTTTTCATTGTCATCTAGGTGAAAGGAGGATAAATACAACTAGAGTAAGATTAGATGCAGATCACAGCTATTGCTTATAAAGTATGAATAAATATATATTTTTAAAATAAAATGCTAGTTCAACATGTGGATACAAGCATCTGTCCCATCTCTGCAATCATGAGATGCCAAAATCACTTGGTTCAGTTAACTACCTTGCAGAGCGAAAGGTAAAAATTCCTGGTTCTCTTGAATATAATGACATTTGTACATTTGAGTGAAAATCCATGGCCTGCCAAGTTTGAGGACTGAAATGAAAACTTAAATGTCTGTTGGTTGTGATCCTTGTCATCCCACAGGACATGAGGTGGCTCTGTGCTGATAGTTTGGAGTTCTCACAGGGGGTGTGAACTGGAGCTGGATGAATTAATTCTTGTCATACCCTTGTATGGCCTAAGATCCAAATGGAAATCACAGCTGTGTTTCTCATGGATTATCACTATTTTATGAACCTTGCTGCAAGTTGAGGACCTTCAGAGACAGTGAATGATATGGGCATTGTAATGAAAATGTCTTAAATGACCAAAAGTAAGTGACACAGGAGCCAGGTTGGTACTTCCCTGACCAAACTATCCCGGTGGAAATAGCTGTACAAAACCTCGTGCCATTTGGCTGAAATACCAGTGCAATGCAAAGATCTTCAAAACATTTGAGCAAAATGGTATGGGGTTAAAATGCCCCTCTGTCCATGCACAGTGAGGGGTGTTAGCTGGCACCTGAGCAGGCACAGAATTCCTGTGTATCTACACGTGGTATCAAAGCTGCCCATGAAGTCTCAGCACTGGGATAGTGACCCACTGAAAAACATTTTGACACACTGGAGGAAAATCTTCCTTATTCTCAGTTGAAGATGGGTGTTTGGTGCTGCTGCCAGTGAATACAACTGGTGATGTTGGTGGAAATAAATTGCTGACTGTGACCATCACACAAGTAATGCAAAAAGTCCATATGAAGCATCTGTGAAGCACCAGTTAAACTGGAATGAATGGGAATGTTTCTAATATTTTCCTTCTTTGTTTTCGTTTGGGTTTTTTTCCTTGTTTCTTTTTGGTTTTGTTTTTTAATTTTACTCTTTTTTTTAATGCATCTGTCTTTCTGTTATTTCACTTCTAAACACTTCCAGTCAAGCTCCCTGCAAATTTACAGATTATTATCATGCACATTGGCCTAGGAGTCTGGACATGTGGAACTTAATAATATTATGGATGAAAATCCCTTGGTTTTGGAGCAATATGCCCATTCCAATGTCTGAATCCAAACAGTTTCTAATTCTAATCTTCCCTGATACAAAATTACTTGTTTCTTTGAGACCAGTCTTCTATTCCTCTGAGAGGTGATGTAAGAATGTGTTAGGGCAGAAGATTTTGGTCTTCATAGGCATTTGCAGTGACTCATACTTGTTTAAAATGTGTGAGAGTTGGCTAGGAAGTTAGATTCATATTTTTGCTGTTGTTCAGCAAAATCTGAGAGTCTTGTTTTGTTGTTCATTCAGTAGAGAGCAGAAGATACTGCAAAAGACTGTAGGAGGGCTGATTGCTTTTATATCACATTTCCCTAGACAAAAACGGATGGATGAAAACAGAAAGCTTGATATTTCCCATACTGATGTATGCAGAGATTTTTCTGAGTGACAATGTTAACATTTACAGTGATCCATTAGGCAATTGTCTCGCTTAATAATATGTTTCAAATATATCTTGACATGTCAAAAATATTTAGCTTTCATCTTCTGTATATTCAGCTATTCTGTAGGACTATGATCTTCCCATCGTGACAATGTACTGTTCAAGTTAAAAGGACTAAAGACTAAGGTTTTGGAAAGCAGTTGGGAAGTGGACAGTATTGGGAGGCTTTTGGTTTGTAGGGTTTTCTTGTTTGTTTCCAGCAAATGTGTTTGTCCCTCCATCCCAGAAGGCCGATAGAGCCAGCTCTCACTGAATCTGATCTACAACTGAAGGAGCTGAGGAACCTTTGAAAGCTTTGCAGGCTTTCTAACTCCCTTTGGACAGCAAAGATAGTTCAGTAGTGAGTTCCATGGCATGTAAGATGGGATATTTTTCTTAAATTGAAGGGTTTGTGGAGTAAGACCCTAAACTGTTTTACTGAGGCTTATGTGAAGGTGAAGAGGGCAAGTCTCCTGCACTTAAGGCA